CACAAGAATATTGGTTTATCAGACAAAATAATTTCTCACCCAGAAACATTTCTTTTACTTCTAATTTTCTGTACTAAAATATTCCTATATCTGTAACTTTTCCAGTTTCAGACCCTTTATTATATTCTGTGTTCTCTCTGATATGTGGATGTTGATTCAAAATGGGGGTTGGGGGTGTTGAGATTCACCAGATAAAATAGGGGGAAATGGGGGGAAAGAAAGGGGAATGGGAAAGATAGAATAAATTGGCAATAACTTTTCTATGATTATTTGTGAATATAGAACCAGTGTAACTCCACATCATGTACAACCCCAAGAATGGGAAGTTATATTCCATGTATGTATGATATGTCAAAATACATTCTACTGTCATGTATAACTAAAAAGAATGAAAATAAAGTTGATAAATGAGTTGGTATCAAACTAAAAATTTCTTCACAGCAAAATAAGCAATCAAGAACACACAGAAAGTCTATAGAATGGGAGAAAATCTTTGCCGCCTGCCCCTCAGATAGACCATTAATCTCCATGATATATAAAGAACTCAAAAAACTTAACACCAAAGAGACCAAATAACCCAACTAATAAATGGGCAAAGGAACTGAATAGGCACTTCAACAAATTATAAAAAATGTTCAACATTTCTAGCAATTGGATAAATGCAAATTAAAACTACACCAAGATTTCATCTTACTCCAGTCAGAATGGAAATTATCAGAATACGAGTAACAAGAAATGTTAATGAGGACATGGAGAAAAAGGTACCCTCATACATTTCTGGTAGGACTGCAAATTAGTGCAACCACTCTGGAAAGCAGTATGGAGAATCCTCAGAAAACTTGGAATGGAACATCATTTGACCCAGTTATCCCATTCCTTGATAGTGCTGCAGTCACATCAATGATTATAGCAGCTCAATTCACAATAGCTAAACTATAGAATCAAGCTATGTGCCCTTCAACAGATGAATGGATAAAGAAAATGTGGTATATATATATATACACAATGGAATATTACTCAGCCATAAAGAAAGAAATTACTGCATTTGGATGGAATTACTGCATTTGGATGGATGGAACTTGAGACTACCGTGCTAAGTGAAATAAGAAAATCCCCCAAACCAAAGGCTGAATGTTCTCTCTGATATGTTCATGTTGACTCACAATGTGGGGCAGGGGAGAAGGGGAGTTTCACTGGATTGGACAGGGTGGAGTGGGGGGAAGGGATGTGGGATGAGAATAGGAAAGACAGTAGAGTGAATCAGACATAACTTTCCTATGTTCAAGAATGAATGCATGACCACATCATGTACAACCACAAAAATGGGAAGTTATACTTCGTGTTTATATAATATGTCAAAATACATTCTACTGTCATGTATAAATAGAACAAATAAAAAAATTATATTCTGAAATAATCCTTATGAATGTTTACCACTCACATCCCTCACAGATAAGAGAATGGGGTTCCCCTTCAGTGGAATGGGCTACGTAAGAAATAAAAGATAAGAAAAATACAACAGTGAAATAACCACAGAACACAGAAGTGGCTTCAAAAGCAAGGGCAGGATGGGAAGCTGATCAGACGGGTCTAGCTTCTAACCATGAAAGGAGCCCGTGTGTGGTGTATTTGTATTGGAAAACATCACTAAAACAGGTTAGAGGTGGGGGGGCAGGGGGCTAGGGATGTAGCTCAGTTGGTAGAGTGCTTGCTTTGCATGCACAAGGCCCTGGGTTCAATCCCCAGCACCA